GCATAATACTGCTTTGGGGTAGTCTGAATCCTTTGCTCTTCAACAGGTGTGTTCTTTTTTAATTCTTTCTGAAAATGCATGGAAAGCGGCAAAAAAAAAATAGAGGCTCACATTGCTTGCAAACGATAACTAGTAGTGTTTCAACAGCCCATTCTTTCTCGCATTATTGGAAACAGCTATGAAATATTGCATTTTCTGCACTACTAACAGCTCAGCTATTACTAGAAAAGTGAAATTCAACAAAGAAACAAGCAATGCACTGTTGCCAGCACAGTGTTGTAAAAATCATGAGTATTCACTTTGCTAATAAAATCAATACAGTATTTAGAATATATGCAACTAACATCAAAATAATTACAAGAATTCAGACTGTTCACTTCTGTTTCCTTTCGTCGTAAGATAACAGTTCTGATAGAATTTCAACATTTTTCTTTTATTCAATACGCAATAAATTTTTTTAGAGATCAGATGTTAATAAATGTTTTATAACATACCTCATGGGTATTCTGAGAAGTAATTTATAATCAACTGCTGCGAAATTCATTGCACAACACAACAATTCTCCGAAATTCATTGAACACCACAAAAAACACTGGCTATTGGTCTAGGAGTTACACCACCAACTGGACTTAATAAACCAGCTGCATCTTATCACTGCTAACATCTAGAAGTTCGACAACAATTAGCAGCTCAAATATTGATGCTCTATTGTTGATATCTTTCTATTAAACTTGCAGATTGCTTAAAAAGAAGTACAACAATTGAGTAAAAATTAAAAAGAGAATTAATATTGGCATTTTAATAGTAAATTATAATTAAATTAATTACTTTTCATGTCATTCATTCAATTTTTATTGTGGCCTATTGTTGGTGTGAAACCTGTATATATTTCATTAATTTCAAGCACATATTATGCCATAACTACTGGTTATTTCAAAAAATTTTACATTGCTGTTTTTAAAGAGTTAATTTTCTTCAATCAGGCAATCTTCTATTTTGTAATTTTGAAATGTTTTTTGCAATTTTTGAAACAACAGAGCAATACCAGAAAACAAGACTAGATTCATATTTCTTACCTTATTACATATGTACAGAAAATGTAAACAAAAAACACACGTTTGAACATCGATGTTTTTTGTTGATGTCACATCACTAATGGCTAGACTTCTTTAGACCTAAACACTTATGCGTGTTAGCCCAAAAGAATACAAGTGTTCTGGAGTTTTATCAATTAAGTATACATTTGCATCATTTCTTAGGAAATAAAGACTATAAATAATACCACTTTTTTTTAAAAAACATTGTTGATTTTTCAGTGAAAAGTACAGCGTAGTTATATGTCACATTTTGATTTACATACATTATAATAAGAATTTCTAACATTTTGAACATGTAATAGAGTTATTTAATTTTATCAAATTTACTCATTTAAAAAAAGGATTGGTAGAAATATTCTCCATTTACATTATCAAACAAAAAACACCTAATCGCTGTGATATCAGTCTCATCTTTTATGAAATTGACTTATTTATTTCAAAAAGCAACAAAATAACACAATTCACAATAGTTTAAGACACGTCTCCAAGTTTCTACCCCCCCTCCCTCTCGAGATTTGGCATATATACTCAACGAGTACATTTTTGGTTCAATTCATAGTTTCTCAAAGACGAAGCATAGCACGGAAAATAAAATAAAATATACTAAAAATTACCTACTTTCCTGCAACTATTTCACATAAAAGTTAGACCTATTGATATGTTACAACAGAAAAGTACATCTGCACAAATATAGAAAATCGAAAGCCTCAAGTGAAGTTAAGTAGTTATTTTCCAACCAAATAAATTAACTATTACATATTCTAGAATAATACAATCAATATTCATTGTGAACACAGAGAAAAATATTTGTTTCTGAACATAAAATTAAGATATGTCTGTGTATATTATACTGGACTTTTGTAGAATATCCTACTATCCATCGTAACTTGAAAATGTATTACATCAGACACAATTACAATCCCTAACCATTTTTCATTGAGAAACATGACTTATTGTTGCTGGACATTGATTTACAAACATACATCTTCCGAAAGAAACAAAAAAAAAAACACACACACACACACATACAAACGCACACATACTATACTCTAGTTCAGTGCAACCCATGATACTGATCCTTGATGATAATTCTTGAATCACATTTACATGCACGACTGTCATAAACACACACACACTCACACCGACAAGAGAAAAACTGCCTTGCAGATGCAGGACGGTGCAGTAAGTAAAAGG